TCCACCTTGACGAATATGTTTAGGGGAGCAAGTGGAGGTGGGTTGTTCACCATGCTTTCTATTGTCCTTCCTCCTCTTAGGGTCATCCTCTCGGTTAGTGGAAGCAACAAGACTGTGGTGAGTGGAGGAATATTGAGAAAGAGGTAGGAGAGGTAGTCACCTTAGTTGTAATGCCGGTCGATGTGCCTTCCTTTGTAGGCCTGGCCGAAAGGCCCTCTTGTACACTAAGAGTGGTCCTGGAGTCGCTCACCCCCGCTTGTTGAGTAGCTTCTTGAAAAGGTTGAGATTCTTGGGATTGATGCGGGTGACTATATTTGTAACGCAAACAAAAATTTAGCTAAGTTAAAAACCGACCAAGGATAAACCAAACAGGGAAGGATTACTTACCATAAACATGCCTATAAAGATTGCATGATCGATAACACTTCAGAAGTTCCCTGTTCAGGAGTTTGTGGGGAAATTACTCTAAAATCTCAAGGACGAAACATTCCTCGGGCGTCATCAAGGTCTCTTTATAGTGATCTGATAGAGAGGGATTATAGGTCTAATACAAAGGAAATTGGTGTCAATCATCCCTATCCAATAACCACTTATGACCCTTGGCCATGCAGTTTAAGAGGAGTTGCGTGAATAAAAGAGGTTAATTTAATGTCTAATTTTGTCAATATACGATGTTAATTTAATGTCGAATTTTGTCAATATACGACGTTAATCAATTTTTTTTTATATTTTTTAATTAATTGTAATCCTTTTTTACAACTCTACGAGACTTGAAAATCATACCTAAAATAGTTTATTAACATGCATTTATATGAAATTAAAGAAAGATTACATGATTTGGTCGTCAAACTTCGTTCGAGAAAAGTTTAAGCAGAGAAGAGGGTCTTGCGCTCTAAGATAAAGTGAATGAATTTTCAATCTCCCACTCAATTTTTTATTGAATTCACTAACCTTTTGACGTCTAACACTGAGACAATCGACGTTTTATATCCTTTTACGTCGAATTATAATTCTAAACGACATTTAATAATTACATTTGTTTACAGAATTGCCACCGGTCATTTTTAACGTTGGCTATTGAGTGGTTAGACGTTGAATGTGTGACGTTATTCGCTCTTTTTGCACTAGTGTTACGAGGCGACACACTCACCCATCACCACCAATTATATTTTTAAAGGAGTAGTGGGAGTGACAACAAACCCTTTTGGCTTTTAGTCTCCACCCATGCTCAAGGCTTGGGGGCTTATGTACTGTATGTATTCATCTGTACATACTAACCACAATAGTACAACCTATCGCTTGAGGCATGGAGAAAATCGATCAGTTACGATTAAAATCAACTAAACTTTTAATTAGCATAAACATGTCAATAATAAGGTTTAAAGGGATTTTGACGTAATTAGGTAACTTTAATAAAAAAAAACATAGACAAAACTATGCATATAGATCAAATGTATGGTTATGGAGACACTAATTACGTTTTTATTATAACATTAACTGCTTTAATTGATCAAATCTAGGCTGACTTTAGCATAAAAACACCTTTAGCATGTATCCCCGATTAATTGGCAAACAAATTACTTTAAGATAGAGAGAGCAACACCACATTATAAAGATAAAAAAATTATTTTAAATGAACATTCGATGCATATACGCATAGTCTAACATGCTTGAAAGTCTATTTAACATGTGAAAGAAAAAAACTTAATGTCTAAGTTTTCATTAATAAAGAAAAAGGCCTTTTCTTCTTGCACCCAAATAATTTATACTTACACTCCAATATTGTTTTTAAAATGACCATTTTATCTTTCATAAAGGTTACTCCCGGATTACTTGTTTCAAAAATCTTATAAAACAAATTTTCTGGAATTTCTAGAGCATGATTTTTGAAATAGGATTTTCATAATAGAATTTTTGAAACACACAAAATGTATTTCAGAAGAAGTTTTTGGGAATAAATTGTTTGAACACACATTTTCCAAAACATATATAATACCTCCTAAAACGAGTTTCTAAAATAAGTTTTCGGAAAATACTTTGTAGAACATATGAAATATATTTCATAACAAGATTTTTGGAATAAATTTTTCTGAATATATGATGTTTTTTTAACGAGCTTTTTAGAACAAAATTATCCTTTTCCTCCTCTCAAAGAATGCAATAATTATGGAAGATGAAGGTGTAGTTGGTGACCAAGCAGCTGCAGAGATACTGTGGTGCATTATGGAAGGTATTTTAATCTCTTGGATGCTATGGAGGTGCAATTAGTAGTTATGGAAGTGTTAGAAGAAAATGTGGCAATATTGATCCTTTTTATTTTTGTTTTCAAACAAAGTTAAGGAAAATGAAAGAAAAAAAATAAAAGAGCGATGCTTCCTCTACCACCACATCTTCTCCTTACACCTCTCCAATTTTTTTAAATTCCAAATGTATCTTTTTTATTTTTTACTTTTATCAATTTTACTTTTTATTTTTTAAAACCTAATCTCAATCTTCTCTCACTTTCACTTTCTCTTTCACTCTCAGGAGCAAGCCCTCACCTCCCACTGTCACTTTCTCTTCTTCTTTCTTTTTTCTCCCCACATAACTTATTATTTTTTTTTTCAAATCATCTCAATAATCAACAATCTGTTAATTAAGCTATAAAAATAAATATCCTCTTAGTTGAGTTTTCACTGGTTGTGTTTGCTAAAGTCTAAATTCCTCTCCCACATGAGCCTCCATGTGGGTGGGGGTTGCTGTTGAAAGTAAAAGGGAAAATGGAAGTGAGAGGGGATTGAGATTAGAGTTTTAAAAAATAAAAAAGTAAAATTAGTAAAAGTAAAAAGTAAAAAAGATAAATTTGGAATTAAAAAAAAATGGAGAGGTGTAAGAAAAATATGGAGTGATGGAGGGAGCATCACTCAAAATAAAATCCTGTTAGGCATCCAAAAGCAAACTATATTCAGCTACAATGAAATACTCACATCATGCCAAGTATAAGACTGTGCTTTTGCCACCCCCTTATTGCTATGCAAACCTTCTTGGGTTAATCTTATTTATATTAACAAAAATATCTCCCACAACATGGAAAAATTATTCTTTTACTCAAAAACTTTTTATTACTTTTTCTTATTTTTTTTAATATGTGTCGACTAAATGTAAATATACGTTATCTTATTATTATTTTATCTTATGTAAATCATATACTTATTATTAGCATTTTTTTATGTGTTGATGGCACTGTAAAAAAAGTATTACACAACACAAACTTATTTTGACATTTATTTTGTTTTCTATAGGAGTTTAAGTAAATGAATTCGATAAGAAATCTTCCTGAAGGAATCACATATACCTAAGGTGACATGCAAAAACAAAATATATCAATAACTTTTTTTTAGATATATATAATACATGATTAAAAGTATAAATTACCCATAAGTTTTCTCTGCCCTTACTATATGCAGATCTTGAAATATCTACATGTTAAAGATCTTGAACCACAACTAGACATTATTTAAAAATATGTGTAATAATAATAATAATAATAATAATAATAATAATAATAATAATAATAATAATAATAATAATAATAATAAAGTTATACTATAAAAAAACTAAAGATACTCACAACTTTAATTCGTTAAAGAGTAAACAACTTATTTTTTTTATTAAAAATATTATCAATATACTTTTGTACCGCAATGTCTGATACAAATTTGATTTTTCAAAAGTTTTTTATAAAAATATTTAACTAATATTCTAAGATATCAGTAAACAAAACTCAATAATATAATATTAACATTCTTGATTAGCATATTTGGATAAATATATTAACAATTTATTCTCTTAATATATTATTTTTCAACATACACCTCATCATCAGCTTCGTATATAAATCTCGCTAACAACTTAAATGCAATTATTTCTACTAAAACAACACATGAAAACCTATTGATAAATATTGAACATGAAACAAATAATTTAATTATATATATAAAGAAGGTTGATCAAAGAAAAAAGATAAATGAAAAAAATAGTAAAAATAAATATTGTAAAAAAAAATAAAATTAGAATATATACAATAAATATGTAAACATTTGATCTGTTATCTTTCTGAAAAAGAAAAGGAAAAGAATACCTTTATTATGACCATGGAATTATTTACTTTTTCATTATAAATTCTTTTTATAAAAAAATGAATTTTACGCTGAAAATTCAGTCAAATCAATAAAAAACACAAACTATAACTACTGCGTGATGTGATTTACCACGTCAAACGTCCTTTCTAAAAGAGATTCCATGCTATGAACATACACTGTTCACCTAAATAAAACAAAATAATTACATGGAATTTGGATCCTCTGCAGCTGAAATTCTCTTCCCTGAAAAATCATAGCATTCATGAAAAAATTTCAACTTTCACTGATAAATAACAACTTTCTTTGTTATTTCAATAATCTAATAAATTTATTAACATATTAACTCTCTTACTATGAAACGAAATTTTCAATAAACTAACAATTATAACCCACAAACACTTATGTAGCAGTATCAGCAAGCTTGGGAAGCTGCACAAACACAGTTTCACACAGATTAGTGCTGATAAAATGGAAGATGCAGATACAGTAAAAATCTGTGGGAAAAGAAAAGTGACTCAACCTTGAAAATATTAATGGAAGCAGATATTATCTATTCACTAAAATGAACTGAACTGACATTAAAAATAAATCACATTCATGAAAAATGAGAAAGTATCACATAAGTGGAAGAAGTTTTAGATAATTTAAATATTCTTCTCTTCTTTACTTTCTTATATGTCTTTTAAAGATAAAACAAGATAAAACTGTAAGAGACAAACCTTAAAACAGACAATACATCGAATTCGAATGGTAACTGCATGGACTTTGTATCAAAACAAAATATATTTGAGAGAGCACAAGAATACATAGGTTTAGAACGAACAGATACACCAAGCACAATACATGCCTTAAAAGCTTGAAATTGCAAGGAAAAGAGATAGTTTGAATTCCATATTCTGTAAAAAGAACATCATATCTGTTAAGGCAACCTTAAAAGCTTCCTCATGAACACGAAACATATCTACCAGAGATTAACCATTTTATTCCATGACCTTGCCATGTACTCCCAATAACAATAATTACAATCAAAATTAAAAAACAAGTAATAAAATATCGTTCCCACCACCACTAAGAATGCTACTAAATTCACTATCTTCATTTTCCAGAACAGAAGCAACAAATACCACACAGAACCAAGCATCAACATTCCCCTCTCACCACTCTTGCTGATAGATCGAGCCACACATGCTAGAATCCCCATAACCCAAAAGCCAACACGATGTAGGTCCTGCAAGCATAGCGAACTCAACAGAATTAGTCCTAATCCTTATCACGAGGTAGTGAAATTGAAAAGAAAAATTCAACCTTGCTATCAATATTAGAGTTTAGGCATGTACAAATTCAGCCATAAAATTAGAGTTTAACCATAAGATTGTCTTTTATATATTTTACTTTGTAATATCAGTACACGATCTCTAATAGTGTATTAATATACCTGATAAGTTACACGATTAACCTTTGGATATGAAACATTTGATTCCTTCTTTCCGGGCAATCTGGGTCGAAGTTTGTGGACAATTTTCATGAATTTGGTAGCGAAGAATCCTGGTCGGTGTGGTGGTTGTGTGGGGTGTGAAGCGAATTTTAAGGCGAATTTAGGAAACTTGAGGAGAATGGAGAGGCGGAAGAAGGAGAAATTCCAAGTGGGTTTGGAAGTTGCAGCGGCGAATCTGAATCGTAAGTTGAAGTTGTTGGCTTTGGCAGTGACTTGGAGTCTCCATGATTGTTGCTGCTGTTGTTGTCTCTCTGATAGCATTCCCAACCACAGTGGAAAGAAAGTACTGTAACAGAGAAACAGTAGCCCTGTGTTTGGTTTCCAAGGAGCCGTTGGTGGCTTTCAGGTTTCAAATGAGTGAGGAATTAGGATTACAAGGAATAAATGATTTTTTTTTTGGCACTCGGATAATTTTAAGTTAAATTCCATAATTTTGACACGAGTATTTTATTTTTTAAAGTGATGTTTAAATTATTTATTTTGAAAATGTTTTAAAACAAGTTTTTGAAATTTTTGGAATAAAATTTTCAGATAGAATTTCTGAAACAAAATGTTTTAAACAATTTTAATAGAACATATATAAAATACATTTTATAATAAGCTTTCTTAGAATAAAATTTTCAAAACACATTTTTCAGAATATAATTTATACAATTTATAACGAGTTTCTCGTAACGAATGTTTCGAAATAAAATTTTCAAAACATTTGAAATGCTTCATGGAATAAATGAGATTTTTCTGCAGTGACTGAGAAAAAATATTTTAATTTTTTTGATAACGAAGGGGTGAAGTTAGTAATAATAAGGGTGGTGGAAGAAAAACCTTGAATGAAAAAATTAAAATATTCTATCTCGAGACATTGCGGTTTATTTTTGCTCAACATGTTTTTACATTTGAATATATATATCTTATGATGGACCAAAAAACATAATTTTTTTTTTCTATGCTAACTAAAAGAGAAACAACATAGAAATTAAAACACATGGCTTTATAGGATAATTTTGATGACATGATTGGGAGACATGAATAATGAATTAGTGGCTTTGAGAATGGTGGTATATGTAAGCTAGAAAAAGTGAAGTAGGGAATGGTTTACAAATTTTGGTTTTATACCTTTACTTTGTATTTGTTTCTATTTTTATAACACGTCAACCATTATAATGAATACAATATTCTCTTTGCCTTTTGCATTTCCTGAGTGTTCAAACTAAAAAAAAAAAAGAGAATTAAAATTAATTCATTAACTCAATAAACTAAAAAAAAAACATTTATAAGTTTTGTTTGTTCTCTATTTTAAATTAGTATAAGATCTTCAGATATAGGGAGCTAATATTTTATTGAATAGGTTTAAAGTATTAGGTTGATGCAAACTTAGGTGGGCATGAGAAAAGAGTTGGGTGAATTAAATTGACATATAGTAGGAAATAATTGCAAGGTGGCAGTGTTGATATGATACCTAATATGGCTAGTTTATGGGTAAATGTATGACACTTCCATGTGCATTCCACAATCCAACACGACATTTACTAACACCCAAGGTTTTGTTTATTCACCAATTCATGTTTTTATATCCATCCTATCCAATCGGATCCAAATATTTCAATAAAGATTATCCATTTTCACACTACACTCTTTTCATGCAAATATGATTTTTTTCACTTCCAAGCACCAATTAAATACTATTTTATTCTTAATTTTTCCTCAATTTATGATTTCCAACATTCTAGAGACACATTTATCCACGGCACTTTGACTATGTTAATATTAATTTAAGAAATAACTTGTCCGAAAACTCCAAGTAAAAAACCATACTGAGTTATCATGAAGTTGGCCCCAGTAAAGATAACATGTAGCGACATCATTTTGGTTCACGTGATAGCTATGTATAGCTAAATTGAAAATTGCTACTTCAATTCATTTTCAATGCAATCTTCTAGCTACTACTAGTACTTTATAATTGCTATGTAAATGTCTGGAATTATAAGTAAACTATTTTAAATAAATTTATCAATTGTTGGGTATAAGAGATATTTAGTTTATGTAAATAAATAGTTTTAAATATGAAATTTATTTTGATTAAATATATGGGTCCAATTCGAGTTTTTAAACTTAACTATCAGAGGGTAGCTATTACTCGATTTTATGCTTGTTATAGTAAAAATGTTAATTTTAGATAAGGAAAAGGAGTAACACCAAGTAAATGTTGTTTTATCTTAAAATAATTCTTACTTAACTATTACATGATTTCCTCCTGCTTTTTCTTTGTCATTTAACAGTTTTGTTCACTTGAATTAAACTAATACATTTGAACATAATTCAAGACATTATTGGTTATATGAGTAATCAAATTATGGATAAGATTTAAGAAAAATATTTTATTTAGATGAGTTAAACTTAAATAATAAAGTTTTCTTTTCCAAACAAATTAATTAAACTTAAAGGTTGTTTTTGTCATTTTCTCGAATCAAACTTAAATTATACTCCATCTTTATTCATTAATTCCCACTCCTAACTAGAACCATTTTGTATTGTCTTACACTATATAAAGTCAGAATAATTTTCGTAAAAATAGTACCTTCAAACCAACTATTAATCTTAAACACAAATTTTATTTGAATTTTTAGATTGATCTATGTACAAATTGTGTTTATGAAGTTTTTTTTAACAGATTAAGTCTTTCTATTTGATTAAAATTAAAAGTTGATAATTTTATTAGTTTCCTTCTGTCTAAAACGCTAAAGTTCTCTTTTTCCATTGAAATGTTTGTGATGATTTTAGAATATAAAATGATTTTAAGAGTTAAAAAATTAAATATTTAGAAAATTTTGAAAAAATGAAGAATTTTATAGGGTGTATGATTTAGGCAGGGCAAAATTAGATTTTTTAAATATTTAATTTTGGATAAAAGTTGATGTTTTGATTAAAATAGTTCAATCCACTCAAGTTAGAAGATTTTTAGGGAAGGGAAATGAGAATTTGAAGGATTTATAAGAACATCGATTTTTTCTTTTTGCATAGTTCTTGAAAATACACAAAATTAGTAAAAACAATTTATAGATCAAAATCATTCATAAACCAAACTATAAGGAAAAAAGCAATAACTAAGACCAAAACCTGTCTACAAGTAACCCTAAAAAGAAGAAAAAGAACATTGATATGAAGACTAATAGTCTCACTCTTGCATATATCTTCTTCCATTTCATTTTTGGAACACCTTCTAAAGCCCTTCATGAAAGACTCTTTATTCATCTTTATTCAACTCCTTTCTATTGATCCACACAACTAATGCACTCTAAATAGCTTTAATTTATAAAACTTGGTGTATAAACTCTTCAAATCCAACACTAGATCAACCCTAATAATTACACAAATGACTTTAGCATATAATCTATCAATGGCATAGTAGTGCTCACGAATAAAATAAAAAACCACTAAGATTATGCACATTTTCAAGATTTGTTTTTTTGTATCCAATCCAACGTACTAGTATACACAGCACAAACATTAACATATGTTTTAATTTAAAAAAATAAATAAAAATAAACGTGTGTAAGGATGATCACTTCAAATTTATTAATAACCAACTAATAACTACTCTAACAACTAACATTAAATTTCTCAACCTCCATTCACCAAAACTTTTTCACGATATTATTGTCTTTCAACTCGGCGGCTCCACCAACACCACGACGTCGCTCCTACGGCGGGACCCACTTTCCGGCGCTGCGGGTTTCTCGAGGAGGGAGTGGCGGCAGTTGGGACAGGAGGAGTGGGAGAGGAGCCACGTGTCAATGCAGTGCACGTGGAATCCGTGGTTGCACTTGGGCAGCATTCGAACCCTGTCCCCTTTCTCGAACTCCCCGAGGCATATGGGGCACTCTGTCGCCGGGACAGTCTCGCCGGAGGCACCATACACCGCCACCGGGATGCGGCTGAGCTCACGCCGCTTCAGCCCGGTTCCGGCAAGGCGGGCCGCCGCCTGCTCCTCCGTCTCGTCGCCGAAGCGCCGCCCGCACCGCAGCGCACACCGCGCGATGGAGTTCAGCCCCAGCGCGCATATCAGAGCGCACAGTAGAGCCGCCAGAATGATCACCATGTTGGTGTCGAAGTTGGCGTCGCTGATGAACGTGTCGCGCGTGTTGTTGCCGTACGACGGTGGCATGCTCAGCTCCGTGTCCAGAAACCGCCGCTGCGTCATGATCGATCGATGGCTCACCCCGAACAGAAAAAAAATCAACCGGGTCTCTTCAATTTTGTGAAAAGTTTTAGACTTTGTGCTGAAATCTTGATGGGGTTGTGTGGGGGTGGGTGATTTTTGGGTTATGTGTGTGAGGATTGGGAATAGTGAAGGACACGGAAGAAGGGGCTGAATTGGAGAATCCCTAGCTTTTTCTTTTGGGGTGATGGGATAAGGAAAATGAAAGGGTGAAATTTTGTTTTGGTGGTTGTTATCTGAACTGGGGACCGTTTTGCTGCCTGATTCCCAGCTCAACTCTTTCCACAGAGATGCATGGTCCTTATGAAACACAACAAAAGCAAAGTGCAAAACAGGTTGCAGATTGCAGAGAACATTGGACTATACACTCTTTTTTACCTATAATTTCACGTTTATATATATAGCTCCTATTCTAGCCATATACTTTTGGTTTCACAAAAAACACTCTTATATGAATCTGACACAAGACTACATATGCTGGCAACAATTTTTGTCTGGCTAATTAACACAACTACATACTCAAACTAAGACTAACGGTTAAATTAGTACAACTTTTTACATTTATGACATACATAATGAACAGGTAGGAGTTGCCCTGAGAGAATATATGATGGAAATTTTAATCTTTTGTATTGGGATGAATTTGTGGTGCATAAAGGGCAATTTATAGGAAGTGGGGCATGGTGAGTTGTTGGACTTAAAAGGAATCAAAAGCTGAAGGCTGGGTTGTCAGAGACACAGAGCAATTAACTCACGTATGGAAATGAGAATCTGTGAGTAATTTAAGGATACAGTGGGGTCTGGTAGTCACAGGTGGTTAATTTACAAACCTAATTACGATTAAACCTGTATAGAATAATACTAAGAAGTTTGGTAGCAAATCCAAAGCAATCCCTTTAATCTTACGGTTAAACTTGGGTGAATCTGTAGTGTTGGGTATGGACCAATGCAAAATGAGGTAGTCCCAAAATTTGAGTGTGACTTTCATTCGTTATAGTAGTGGAAATTTCGTTGCCAGTGTGTGATTTGGCTGTGGTTTGCTTTTGACATCAGACATGGCAGATGAGAATCAAATTAGAGAAAAAGATACAAAAAGGAAAGGAGAAAAAAAAAAGCACAACGTTCAAAATATCTCTCTGTCTACCTTCAATAACCCTCTTCGCAGTTTGCAGCAGCTACCTTATCATAGCCTGCACCAAACTGTGGTATTTTGTTGCACCTTTTGACGTCGATTTCTGATGGGACACCACATAGTAAAATGTATTTTCTATCCTACAAAAACAACACTAAAATCTCCACGTATCCCTCTCTATAAAAATTAATTACATCCTCGTATTAGGGAAAAATTAATTACTTTTACTTTTACTAGTTCGTGCTTGAAGCGAAACAATGTAATTTTCTAATGGGTTAACTCAAAAACAGTAATTATATTAACATGATTAAAATAAAAGTATATTTACTTTTATATTCCCAAGATTGACACAATATTAGTAATTTGTATATGAATCAACAGACTTTTGTCTATTAAAGTGCTTGATTTTTTTATTAACATTATAAGGTGTAAGTTTGATTTTAAATATAAAAGAAATTGGTAAATTTTTGTAAAAAAGGTTAAAACTTGAGAGAGACCTGCGGAATAATTGGTATTAGAAAAATTAAGTAAAAATCGTTCAACTTGTCGGATGGATCCAAATTTTATAATTACACACATCGAATTCTTTTTGTGTATTTGCATAAATTATTTAAAGTTTTTTTTTTTTAGATTCAGAAGAAATAAGAGGCAACAAGAAATGGAGTTGATCACAGAATAAGAGGTTATAAATAATAAAACGTTGCGTAAATTGAATTGAATTATATACATCGATATGTATGCCAAAAAAAGACGTAATGCGTGGCATGTCGGATCAGGATTGCATTGCAGAAGGTGGACCCTGAAAATCAAGCTATCAAATTTATGGCAGCATTTACGATGGAATTTTCGTGGCAGCATTACTGTCACAAGTGAAAAATTAACTTAATTATTGGGAGAGTTTAATTAATTGTTTCATTTATTCAGTACCTAATCTTACTTGTTCGAAGTCAATCAGTCTAATTAATAAGGCTACTTATTTAGCATTCCACGAGTTAATCTAAGCACCACAATTGGCCATGGTCAGAGCATGGAATATTGGCGAGAGTTCCAGCTCAAGTAAACATAGCCACTAACAAAACTAACATTAATATCACCATAAGAGAAGGAATTAGTCTAGTCATTGTTGTTGCATCCCTTTCTTTTGACAATAATTTATATTTGTATGCTTCGTGTATATAATTAGGCTTCAATCGTCAACAAAAAAACATCGTTAACATAACTTTTTTTTAATGTTAGTTTGCCAAAAAGTCGACTTAAAAAATAAACATTATATTAAATTAAAATTTAAGAAAATTCTTTACATTAGTTATATTTGATCAAATTTGTTTTGATGTATATTTAACTATAATTGATGTTGAAAACTCTTTTCATGTTTATTTTCTTTTCTATATACCAACATGTTTTTTCGACATCTTCTTTGCTATATAATTATACCACAATATATGTTGATACTATACAATTGTTTATGCAACACATTCCATGATCTCATTATTTTTTCGCATTATTTAGGATGTGTTTTTGTAAGGATTAATTTTTGGAGTTTTTTTCTTGCAAGGATTAATTTTTCAATAGCTGAAATTTGGTGTTAATGGTAGATTCATCTTTTAAGATGATTTTCTTCGTCATGTAAGCCCTCCATCTGAGTTGAAGACATATAACACAAAATCGAAATAAAAATCGTTAAGACATCTTTCAAAATTCTTGAATCAAATTTTGTCACTTTCCATCCGACCAACATGTATGTGAATTTCATATCACACTCACAAAGACATTTTGAGTTAGTCAGTCCTTCCTTCCTCGATAGTTGAAAGCCTAAGATCTTGGAACCTTTACTCAAACATGAGTTCCATCTATGACCCCTAGACAATCCTAATCCAAACAAATTAAAAGTGTAAATGAAAATTGTTTCATTCATGTACTTTGCAAAAATAGAAATACAATTATGGTCATTGTTACCTTAAAGTATGAGTAAAACCAACTATTGTTGAGGACATGTTGATATACCTCTATCTCGTTGATTGAATTAAAAACTCTGACTCCAAAGTTAAAATTGTATCTATGAAAATGTTTGCTAACAGTCGACCCATAATAATAGAGGAAAAGTGACACACTATTACTCTTCACATTGTGTCCAACGATGTGTAGAAATTTAGCAACTCTTTCCTCCAATATGTACTATACGACATCCTTCACTAACCCAATTGCCCTTACTAGCTAACATAGGTTAATAAATGTCTTTGATCCCATCTGAATATTGTCATGACATCGATTTGTATGCACTAGGTAAGACATTAATTACTCTCTATAACGCTTTCTCTCTAGGACAAAATCTTAAACACTATTTCTTGAACTTGAATATATATTCAATATATTCATGCATAACATTGATAATACGATCACTATTGTGCACAATTGTAATTGTCGGTGTAAGTGTGTAACTATATTAAAGTTGACATCAATAACATCATTTACTACATCTTCAACATGGAAAATGACACATCTAATTCCTCTTCCATCTAAATTACATATAAAAAAAAATATAAGTATGTTACTTAAAAAATAAAGAAGAAGTCATAAATATAGATTTTTTATATGAGAATAAAATTAGATAAATTTCTTATCAAACTGATTCAAAATTTTTAATAAATAAAATACTTAGAATAGATATTTATAATATTTTTAAAATTCTTCTCACTCATATAACTCAACGTACATACTATAAGCATTTTCATTCAAAAATAAAAAATATAATTTCAGATTAATACATTATTCGTGACATATCATGCATAAAACTTGTATATCGTACCTTTATAAGAAGTCTACATAAGTTTAAAAACCAAATTGATCAAGAACTCATATTACATCATGAAACCAAAGTCACATAACACCTCCTTTCGGGATATATCACCTAAATGTGGGGGTTTTAATGAGATTCAAATCAAAGTAATATGAAGATTTTTCATGAAGCAAAACACATGCCAACGTCATCACCTCCATGACGAGCACACAACACCAACTCCCCTAACTACACACCACAAAAAAAACCCACCCAAAATGAACCATTGAACCACCTCTAATGGTTAACGCCGAAGTCATCTCCACCATCGAATACCATGACATCACCTCCACCATCAATCACCGTGACATCACCTCCACTAATGACCACTACACGTCTTTGTCACTCAACCCTTGAAACACCTCCTTGAACCACTCCATCACTTATTGCAACACAAAGCAAAATTTTGAGAACTTTCAAAACCATTGGAACTAGTTCCAACCACAAAAAAACTGATTCCCAAAACTGATTCCATGTCCTTCAACCACTCAAGAACCGGTTAAAACAAAAGAATCAGTTCCCCAAACACTACAAACTCCATGGTAGCATTCATCATGCCATTCATGAGGTCACACAAACTATGAACCATGAACCACAACCCAACCCCTCCTATGGGTTCTTGACCATGAACCATGCACAATTCTCACACTCATCACATAACGCATATCATCTTGGAACTTACCTAAAATGGTTTCGAGTAGAAACACACCACACTTTCTCTAGCATCGAGGACAAATGCACAACATAGCTTTCCTACCACTACTTAATCAATAAACTACACCTACAAACAATTTATTGACTCATTGAAGACATTCACCTATGCATGGTCAGCAAAATTAAAAGCTAAGTTATGAATGATCACCTCTGAACTCAGGAATCTCTCCCGTATAGTTGAAGAATCTCATGAGTGATTCTCCCTGCACCTCACTAGTCTCGTCCTGCACCTCCCTATTTTTTTATTATTCCAACTATGTCCCTGTCAGAACTTTACTTCCCTGTCGCATACACCCCTTTCTTCTCTCTTCTCGCATAGAGTGCTCCTCCCATCCTCCCCTCCTCCCTCACTTGTTGCTATTTACATGCATTTTTGGACTGGATGAGTTGAAAGTCGATGCTAATGTGTTTGAGTTCCTTGTTGTAGTTATTGAAGGCATTGGAAAATACTTAGTGCTAATGGCTATGTTGTAATTAAGATTGTTGACAAAGTAGGACCTAATTCAAGAAAAGAAAAGGTGACAAGTTCAAAGTTTTTTTTATTATTTGGGTCTCTCCTCTAATAGGGTAAATAGATTGAGTCACTACAACAAATATTGTCGTATTTTACTTTTAGTAAATCCAAACAATAACAATCTTAAAACACAATTTAATTACGTTAGTTTTGTTTGAATTTCAATGATTAAGTTAATTGAATATTATTTGGTCTTTAATAATTGTCCTTTGTGTTTATTGAAAAATAATATTAATATGTAATTAACCTAACCTTGAAGGAACTTTCCCTTTTTATTTTATAAATTTAAAATTCTGCGTGGTCCCTTTAAAGTAGATTGTGCATTAATGTTTTTTATTTAATAAAAATGTAACTGAAGAACAAATATGTATTCAATTTTCTTAATCATTACTACAGTACAAACAAAATTAGTGAAATTAATTTTTTTA